TTCTCTTTCTTTTTCGTGCTCTATCGAGCTGGCTAGATAAACGAAATTTCCTTTGATGATATACGACAGTATAACAATTTTAAGAAAACGAGAACATGCTGTCGGCACTATTTTATACTCTCCCTTCTTTCTATTCATTTCTAACTTGATTCTAACTGCCGAAGGATAGAACTGATGAATGCTGACAATACTATACTTTCATTGTTCGTGTCGTTGTCATTATGTAGTAATAACCTGTGTCAACTATGAGGAACATGACAATGCTTTGTCATTTCACTCGATACGACAAATGTGACTTTAAGAACAAATGTGACTTTTGAGAACAAATGTGCTCTTTGTTAATGCGACAAACACAAAACAGAAGAGAATTCGGAATGTTTGTTAATAAATAAAGGTATCAACTGTCTAGGAAAGATAAACTTGTTTTAAATTAGTTTTGTTTTATGTTATTATTTTTTTAAAGATAAAGCAAATAAATAATAATATATGATTTGTATTCGTGATTGATAATTATTCGATGAATAACCAGTTTCAAATCTAAGTAAGTAATAAGCCTTACGTGATTATTTGCTTCCAAACAAATTTTTTAATTATATTCTTTATCAATAAACTTTATCATAAAATTTAACAACAAAATCAGAAAAGTACCTATCCTAATAATCTTTTAATGTAGAAACTGTAGTGCGTTATATTACACGATGCACCGAGTAATACAAATGAATTTTTTTTTATCCTATAATTCATTTATATATTGAAAATGTTAATAAATCTGTTATAGACGAGAAATTCAGCTTTAATTTTACTTTTTTTTTATTGTAATTGAAACATTTTTTATAGTGAATCCACTTTTCCTTAAGTGCGCTGCCATTATTCCCCTATTGTTCCATATATTTAGAATTTATACGAATAATTAAATATTTCAAAGCAAAAATGCACTTTTTAAAAGCTAAGAAGTCCTTTGTATTCCCATGGACTTTTAATCTTCTAGTTGTAACCACTATCTCGTTGTATCGAATAGCTCGAGTAAAAATGGCCCTAGTAAAAAATGAGCTTCTTATACGCATATGTATATATATATATATATAT